TTGGGGTAAATATTTTCATTTATTCTAATAATGAAATGGTGAAAACAGCACACATTTGTACAGTCAAGAACTTCTTTGTGTCTTTTAATGTCACAGAGGTGGAGTTCAGTCATCCCAGCATTGGACCAGATGTTTTCTGTGGCGTGGGCCTGACTGTGGCAGTGTTTGGAATTGCATCTGGAGTTTTTTGGGGAGTCAAAGGATGCTATGCGACGCCTATTTTGTGATTGGAGCTTCCATATTGATGAACAAAACACGCAACTTGTTAAAACAGAGATTCCCCATCAGTAGTACACTCTAAAAACAGTTGCGTGATTTCATTAACTCGATTTTTGGGTTGTTTGTGTTGGGTCAAAATTCTGGGTTATATGCTTGTAATGTTTTCGTTGGGTCAAAAATGAACCAATCAAGTGTGACCGGCGGCCATGACAGCCATCGACATCCTGTTCGTATTTCTTCATGCTCACCAGCGTGTTCAAATCGACAGTTCTGGCATTTTCATTTCTTAATTCATCAATGTTTTGGGTAGTACTTTTGAAAACCGTCACATTGTCTTGTAACTGCCCGTGTGTTGGATGGGGCGAGTCCGGGAATCATAGCAAACAAGCCCAAACACCTCGCAATGTTAAATCGTTGTGAGCTTTTGAGTAGATTAGCAAGGAGGAAGAGACTGTTTTTTTTTTTTCAAAGTACTCCGGTTTCCTCCCACGTTCCAAAAACATGCATGACACGTTTGGCACACTCTAAATTGTCCCGAGGTGTGAGTGCGAGCGCGAATGGTTGCTCGTCTTTGTATGACCTGCGAATGGATGGATGGAGAACATGTTTCCAGTTTCTTGCAGCTAGTCCTGTGTTGTAAAGGAGCCGTTTTGGTGGGATTTTTTTTTCACTTCTGTAAAACACTTCAGCATTTGCAGTAAAGGCGAACCAGATTATAATAACATGAGAAGTGTTGGTATGAATCAATTACTGAATTGCCACGCCTTAAACTGTGAGCTTTCAGCTCTTGTGGTTTCACTTTCGTTTTTTTCCCCCAGTTATCGCTATGTACACGCTTTCAACGGTGTGTTTTTGCCTGGTGTTTTGCCATGCAAGTGAGTACATTTTCAATCCAATATAGAAGTTTGTGTGTTTAGAACCAGAGGAGCCACAGCATTGCTTCAACACTGGTCAGCCGGAGACTTGACTCATGTAGATTTTTTTTAAACACAAACTCTTAGTGTTTGTGTTTATGATCAAACTTGTGTTCATGATCAAACTTGAAATAAAAGGCGAATAATGAACATTTTATGTATATTTTCATTGATTCCGCAAACATTGTGATATTAATTGCAAGTATTTAATGTTACATGAAACTGCTGAAATGGTTTTATGAATGTGGAACCATTACAATGATATTTATTTATTATATAACAATATTTATTTTGAGTACCGGTAAGTTCAGAATTTTTAATAAGAAGTCAGAGATTTAAATGATTGTCAACGTCATGCCAATGGTGATTTTGTTATAATGGCACTGATTTGGTCTTGTGTTACAGATACTCAATCTATGCATGCTCTGCTGCAATGCCAGGGGAGCTCCAGTGATGGTCATGATGCGTCTGTTGTGGAGAAAACCTACTATAACAAGATGCTTTATCTACAATACAACAGCACCTGGGGAAATGTTACTGGCTACACAAAGATAGCAAGGAAAGTTGCAGATATTCTGAACACTGACTTTTATTTGAAGGGCATTAAAGAAAGTCTAGAACTCTGCAAGACATGGATCACTCGTGCATACAGCATTTTAGCACAGAAAGGTAATCTTATTGTAATTTTTAGATTATATGATTAGAAGCACTGGGACATATCCCTTAACCAATCAATCAATCAATCAATCAGGGATTGGGCTACGAGGAGGTGACTTAGACCTCCTTGAATTGTGTAGTGGACAGTTTATATACTGGCAACTTTAAGGGAGAAATCCAGGTTTGGCCCCTTTTGTCTTCAAACCGGAAAAAGTTCATCAAGGCTGAGATGAGTTTGGCATGAAATAACTCCATCGAAAAAGTTTCTGGTGAACTCCAACTGTGATTGTGTGATAACAATGCCCTCTCTCGGGTTCAAGTGACTTTTGACTTCACAGTCAGATCTTGTGGTCTTCTGAGTGGAAGCTGCAAAGGGGAGACTAACATAGTTTCACTTCCTCTCACTTCCATGTGTACCGATACGTCTCAGTTCCGTAGTTCACCATTATTTCGTTGTCACTTGTGATGGTTTTCACAATTTCGCAGTTGAGCCGAAAGTTCGACTGCGATTAACCAAGGCGCCGGCGGACAGCGAGCATCCAGCAACCCTCGTCTGCAGCGTGTACAATTTCTATCCAAAGGACATCTTGGTGACGTGGCTCAAGAACGGCGAGCGGGTTACATCTGAGGTGACGTCCACCGATTCCCTACCCAATGGCAATTGGCTCTATCAGAGGCACTCGTACTTGGAGTACACGCCGACGCACTGGGACAAAATCAGCTGCGTGGTGGAGCACCCCAGCCTCGAGAAGCCGAGGATTTATGACTGGGGTATGTAGATAGCTGATATATCATGTCAGGTCTGAGTACTAATTATATGAACATGGGCCAAATGACACTAAAGTGGACAATTATGAGGAAAAAAAATACAGTTGGCGACTTCACCAAACACCCAGTGAATGCAATTGATAATCTGCAGCTCTGTATCGTATTTTTAGGCTTCACATACAAGTGGTCCCCACACGGTCTGCACATGCATTTTGATGTGTTCAGCTCCCCCAAAGGTTACTCAGGGGATGTTGTTGTGTATTGCAAGAAACTGATTCCATTGGTGGCCCTGAGACACGAAATTGAAATTACATGGGCAGCACTCCCATTGGACATGTTGGCCAATGATACTAAATCAGTAGTTGACTTTGACATACATTTCTGGAAGATAATGGTGATTACTTTGAGCACCTCTTGTAATTATAGAGGCCAAAGGAACTGTAACTTGTGCATCTTGTGATGCCTGGATAAATTTGGTATTAAAGTATTTTTGCATGAACTTATCAGGACTGCAATGTTCCCTCTAAGCTGCGCAAGTGAGCCATTGCGCACTTTTCTCACCCTCTCAGGTCCATATACCGCACTTGACTTCCATAGAATCAACGTCAATGGTTCAGCTTCAACAGATAATGTATGTTAACTGTGTCAATAATATGTCGGTATTTTCAGAGCCTACGCCGGAGTCTGTGAAGAATAAGTTCATATTGGGAACCATGGGGCTGATCGTGGGTCTGGTTTCTTTCGCTGCTGGCCTGATTTACGACAGAAGGAATGTGCCTGGTAAGTGATTCATGGAATTTAAGATGAAAGATGGTACTTTAGACTAGGATTAGCAGCCAAAGATGTCCGCGCTTGTGTTGGTTTTACCGCAGCAATCGGCTAGTCAGACTGGATTTGCCATGTTTCTTAGACAAGGAAGTAGTTGTTGTTCCGATATGACGAAAACGTAGACGCCTGTTAGCAAGTAGTGCAAACTGAAGTTGAGGATATTTTATGTAGTTTGGTCTCATGTACTGGATCAGACTAGCTCGAATAAAACCAATCCGATAACATTGCACTCATTTTGGCCTGGATTTAGAGTTCAATCAGATCAGACCATCCCTACTTTATACTGACTTGGGCCAAGTGATCAGATGTTTTGTTTCTTCACTGCTGGGGGCAGTAACATTTAATTTATTTTCTTTCTGACTTTCTGGAAACTGGGATGCCATTGCAACCTTGTGCGCTGCGAAAAGAAAAAAAATATTTGGATCAGTGAATTTTGGTCATCCAAAAGAGCAGCCTTGTTTTTTCCAGTTTTCAACACAATATCATTTAATAATTAAATGATATCAATCACCAACTGATTGTGTGGAATTGACTATTGCTTCTTTCCAGGGCGAGAGAGAGCTTCGGCAAATGATGACAGAAGTGATGTGCAGTCAGGGGAAGGAGGGGAGGCAGAGACTCACCTACACAACGAAGAGTAAAACAACAATAATAATAATAAGATTAAGATATCCTTTATTTGTCCCACACTGGGGAAATTTACAATAATAATGGTTGAATAACATTCTTTTCAATGTTAGTTCACTGGTCTGTTCTTCATAATAACTTTTTTTAATGTTTGTCAGCGCCCCCAAATCAAAACCTCTGGTCCTCATTTGAGAATCACGCCAAATTCATGTGCACATTTGCTTATCATCATGCTTCCTGAAAATCAAAGTTAAGCTGTGTTGTTTGTATTGAGCACACATTGGGGAACAAATTGAACTGCTTCTGTTTCATTTTGTTCATGAAAATCCTGAGTTTGCGACTCCTCTTGTGTCGCGCCATTTTTGTTTACGTCCGTTCCAGAACATGTTAAAGCATGACAATCTGAAATAGAACAATTGCAGCTGGATGTTGTGTATTTTACTGTCTGAATAAAGCCATCTGCCAGTCAGTGCTGTGTTGTAAAAACCTGTACCACATAGATAAATAAATAAATAAACCCAGCGCGGTCCAGTGGTTTGTGCATCACGTCAGGGAGCAGAGGTGCAGGGTTCGATTTCGGCTCCGGCCTCCCTGTCTGGAGTTTGCATGTTCTCCCCGTGCCTGCGTGGGTTTTCTCCGGGTACCCCGGTTTCCGATCAGATTCCAAAAACATGCGTGGCAGGCTGATTGAACACTCAAAATTGTCCGAGGTGTGAGTGTGAGCGCAGATGGTTGTTCGTCTCTGTGAGCAATTGGCTGGCAACCGGTTCAGGGTGTCCTCCGCCTACTGCCCGAAGACGGCTGGGATAGGCTACAGCACGCCCCATAACGCTTGTGAGGATAAAGCGGTACAGAAAGTGGATGGATGGCTAAACCCAGCGACGGCTCCCCAAAATTTTTTTTTTTTTTAATTAAATATTTCTTCGTCCGGTTTCACCTTGTGAGACTGGTTGGTTCATACAGTATCTGATGCATTTACATGTGTAGTTGAGCAGCTACAAAGAAACGGTGGAAATGGGGTGATGGGTGGGGTTCACAAATGCAACCTCCAGGGGCATTTAAATAGCCTCTCATGGGCTCTCGAGACAACACCAAAGCAATAACAAATGCCGTTGATGTTTCTAAAGCATAATAATGCACACAGTTCAAGCAGTTACCGTAGTTCCTGTTCGCATCCTTCAATTCTTCAATAGAAAAACAAACTCTAGAAGTTTGCATTTTATATATATATATATATATATATATATATATATATATATTTTTTTTAAAGCAGTTTGAGTTTTATTTTAAATTCATTCACTCATTAAAGCTGTTCCCTATGCCTATGGCAAAACAGGTTGTTGAACCTGATTTACAAGATTAATTACACGGAAGTAGTCATCCTCACAATACGTTTGATGTGAAGCTGCCATGTCCTTCATATATTTCAGTCGTGATTTTTCATTGAGTTGATGATTTGCAGTTTAAATATGATGCTCTCCACTTGCATAATTCTGACACTCAACTTCCTCGGCACTGGTTCGCAATGTAAGAATTATATTAGCATGTTTTCATCAGATATCTTGATATGAATGGGAGCTTGTTCTTTGAAGAGAATATTTGACCCTCCATTTCTTATGTTTCAGTTATCGTCAATACCTGGATATCCATATCCTGCTGTACCGACACGGATTTGGAAGTGTGGACAGACAACGGCAATGAAATGGCATATACGGATTTCATCCGGCAGGAGATTATTTACACCGTTCCCAAATTTCTTGGTTTGGATCCAGTTACGGCAGATGGTATAGTTTCATACAGAAGATCAACCAGAAACATTGCAATGTGCCAGAGGGTTTTGGCGTTTGCAGAACAAGATATCAAGTACCCAGCAGACATCGAAGGCAAGTTATTGTTGTTTATTTAACATCTACATTCACACAGATCTAAAATTATTCGGACAGTGGCTGAAATTTTGCCATTCTACAACACAACCATTCATTTGAAATAAAACAATGCGGTTAAAATGATTTGCATGCAGTAGTATATCTGCTAGCATGGTGGGGTAACTCAACTTCACCCCAAATGTTGAAAAGTAGGTTGCTTCTTTATATGGATGGATCTCGTGCAGTTTTGAGGTATTTGAGGTTACATCCAATTTGCACATTGTTGAAGTGGATAATACGGGGTTAAAGATGGCTGGGATATCCCTCAGCATGCCCTGGGCCACCGGGGCGCCCGGGTATATTATTTTAACATGAAAAACAAGGAATCATTTTTGCCCTCTTTCTGAAATCTTTGAAATAGAATAACTTCCTTAATTTTTAACATATTGACATTTATGCACCATTTTCTCCTCTTTTTCAAGTTCTTTTCGGGGACACTAATGCTGCTGATTAAATAAATAAATACATTCGATTTTTTTTTTAAATTAAAATGTTAATTTAAATTTTCTTTATTTTTTTAATTCTCATTAACTGTAATAACCTTGCCCTGCAGTTTGGCCAATGATGATGTCTTTTCCATTCTGCCCCCTCCAGACCCCCCACAGAGTGTCATCTACCTTGGAGATGAGCTTCAGCTGGATCAAGAAAACACCTTGATATGCTTGGTGAATAATTTCTTCCCACCCAACATCCAAATTCACTGGACCAAAAACGGCGTTGAAGTGTCAGAGGGGGTGTCACTCAGTCGATATTACCTCAACGAGGATGTCACATTCAACCAGTTGTCAACACTGACATTCACACCAAAGGAAGGAGACATTTATGGTTGTACTGTGGAGCACTCAGCCTTGGACAGGCCACAAACAACTTTTTGGGGTAAATATTTTCATTTATTCTAATAATGAAATGGTGAAAACAGCACACATTTGTACAGTCAAGAACTTCTTTGTGTCTTTTAATGTCACAGAGGTGGAGTTCAGTCATCCCAGCATTGGACCAGATGTTTTCTGTGGCGTTGGCCTGACTGTGGCAGTGTTTGGAATCGCATCTGGAGTTTTTTGGGGAGTCAAAGGACGCTATGCGACGCCTGTTTTGTGATTGGAATATATATACTAATGAAGAAAATATGCAGCTTCTTTAAATCCGGTATTTCCCAACAGATCTGGGACAAACTATTTTGTGCTTTTTTTTTTTTTTCGCGTGCAACTACTAAATAAGTCACCATGTGGCCAAAGAAAGTGTGGAAAGGTCTGACACCACCTGGCACCGCACCACCTGATACATTTTATGATTTGTAGCTTTGGATATTTGTAGTTTTGTCCATATATTTGCTCTTTTTACATCTTGAGATAAGAGTGACCTGACCTCGTTTTTTGAGGCGTAAGCTGTCATTCGGCCAATCTTTTGCTTTGACTTGAGAGCACAAACCTGAGATGTGAACACCACATGGTGGCAGTGAACTCAACTTATTTCACATTATAAGCAGCACTTTGGCAATTAGTGTACAGTTCTTCAAAAAAGAGACTTCAAATGACAATCCAGATTGAAGTTTACTGTATAACTTAAAAAAAAAACATTGAGCGGCCTCCTCTTCCCTGCGTGTTCGTTGATTTTCGGACGAGGAGAATGTTGGTAATCCAAATAAAGGCTGGAGGCAATGAACAGTTCCTTCGAAGGGTTTAATTTATTTTTCTGCAGTTTACGAATCGATTCGGGCTCCTGAGGGGTCCAGATTTCAATCAGGAAGCGTAAAAGAAACACATTCATGTGATTATATCGGGACAATATGATAATGAGAGGCGGGGAGGTACGCCTCTCATGCAAATCCCAGAAACAAAGAAAGTAACGTCATCTGACCCGGTGTGGCTGGAAGAAGTTGGGAGTGGTGAGGTGAGACCAGACCACCACGACCCACCATTTGGTGTGATGGCAGGAACACAGATACTTGAGATAACAGTTCCTCTTTTGATGTTAAACATGTCCTGTGGAGGGGGGCCCTAAAAATGATGGGGGTCGAGGGGCACTAAAGGTGATTGTAAACACAGTGAGCAGGAAGTACCTTCAACAGCATTCTACATAGTTTCTTTCAAGTGTCTGAACAAACACAACTAACAGAGAGGAATAACACCTTAACCATCAAATCTAACTAAGAAGAGAGGAATAATACAAGTGTATTCCAATTCTAGGAGATGATTGTTGCGAGGACGCCAAGCTACGCTGTGGGCATGGGAAGGTTATACAGCATGACTAAATATGAGCAGAATACAGACTTCAATAGATAGATAACAATGTATTGTACAACTAAATAAATCATGAATTTCCCATAAGTCCATTTTATTTTGAAGCGCAGCCTTGTGGCGCGTTGCGTTGTAGCCTATAAACCCCGGTTGTAGCTGCTGCGGGCTTGACGATGCTGACGCGAACGGTGGCTGGACGCGTTGCAGGAGGTGCCATTATTAAGTATATGTTGTTATAATTATCAGGGAAAAACTGAAACTTGGGTTATATTTATTAACATTTATTCTGTTTTATTATAATGATATATGTACAATATTAACAAGAAACCTGCACAGATGTGCCGTTAGGCTTTAAATTCATGGGAGTGGCGGGAAAATTAGTATCAAATCCAAGTGTTCGTGTGCACGCATCCTTATCGCGATCCTGCCTGAAAGTCAAAGTTGAGGGATGGAAATATATTGTTTTACGCATGCGCATCTTGGGGAAACAAAATGAGCTGCTTTAGTTTCTATTTCGTTTTTCTCGTCTTATTAATTAAAAGCCCGAGTTTGCTCCTCTTTTTGTGTTTCACCATTTTTGTTTACGTACATTACAGAACACGTTAGTATGATAATTCTAAATGGCAAAGCCGGTTCAAGTACGGTATGTCGTTGCGACAAGATGTACTGTTCCCCCCACCACCACCAAAAAAAAAAGCGTGTCTGTCAGTCAGGGCCGTCGAGTCGTCGCTGCTTGCGGTTGTGCGGAGCTTGGCGTCAGACGAGTGCGGGGTGATGGACAGCGCCGTGTCTGTCACACACTTCGTCAAAACACGTTGACACCATAGGCGGCGCTTACGTGGTCTGGATATGCACGACTCGTCCGATAAAAGAGTGCTATAAAAACGGACACAAGCGCAAATGTATTCACCGGACAGCCCGCGGACGAACGGAAGTAAGCACCCCAACAAGTAAGCTCTTGACAATTACAGTATGACTGATTTGTCCAATGATTATTCCTTAATGCTGCATTATATTGACTTATGGTTATGGTACTCTCGATGGTTGAGGTTCACAGAACTAGTGGTCCAAATTTAAAAAAAAAACAAAAAACAAAAACGTTTTAATTTTAAACCCTTAACTCAAAAACAGAATTCAAATAGACAGTGCAGAAAATGCCCAAACAAATGAATTAAAATTAAGTTCATGGTTATTTTGATAACTAATTTCCAAAGTAAATACAAATGTTTGAAAAATGTTTTATTTTGCTTCAACACTATACAGTAATCAGTCTCCTTTTACGAAGGACGGCATAAATCTGAGAATACTTACTGTTGAGAGTCTGAAATTCTGAGGTTTTGGACAAACAAAGGTACATGAAAGATTAAGTGATTGTCAACGATATTTATCGATTAATTTGGTAGTCAATTAATTGTCGGTTTATTGTTGCATCTCTCTACACTTGATGTATTTCTCAGCCCACTGCAAATGTTTCTCCTTGTACGATTGGTTAGGGATCACCAAAATAGAGATATCTATTTTTGGTGGAACATATAAAATTGCTTTTTTGCCTTGTTCAACAATAAACACTTTCTTGTGTGGTGATACTCAACAGAGCAGTTCATCCCAATGGGTCTCTCACTATCAACATGGCTGCATCGCAGGACACAGAAGCATTCATCTTCCCACTCTTCTGTTTTCTGTTCTCTGGCTGTCCCAACATCATCTCGCCTTAAGGTCATTTTGAAGTCCTCTCCAGTTCCTCCCGGAGACAGCCGCTCATGCTGGAGCTCGGTCCACTGCTCTCCTCACTTTCTGCTGTCTGCCAGTAAGGATGAAGTGACACGTTTACCCGTAGAGTTGAGCAGCGACGGGGTGAGGGCGGAAAAGTGGGTGAAGGACGGGCTTCACGTGTGGGAGGTGATGTGGAAGCCCAACCACAGAGGAAGCCATGCGGTCTTAGGAATCTCCACGCAGAACTGCCCTCTGCAGGCCTCAGGTTACAACGTTCTGGTGGGGGCAGACTCCCAGTCGTGGGGCTGGGAACTCCAAAGCAATCAGCTCTGGCATGACAGACAAAGTAGGGGAGCATACCCAGAAAAGAGGAGAATTTGTTGCACCAAAGCTGCAGAGAATTTTCTGCCATGGTTTTCTCAATGTAGCCCATCAAGTCTCGAGGTGCCAGACACACCTTTTCCCATCCCTGAACGCATCGTCATGGTCTTGGATGCAGACGCAGGGACTCTTGGATTTGTCGTGGACAACCACTTCCTTGGTATTGCGTTCAAAAACCTCCCCCGCGGTGTGGAGCTATTCCCAGCCGTGAGCAGTGTGCGAGGAGGAGCCTGCATACGACTCCGATATCTCAACGGCGCCACTCGTGAGTGTTTTATTTCTGGTCCCGTGCTTTGGCTAGAAAAGAAATAGAGACAAAAAAAAAACAAAACTCTTTTTTTCTTCTCAGGCAATCCCCCGGCCCTGATGGCTTTGTGTGGACTCCTCATTCGCCACCATTTAGGGCGACAGAGGCAAAATCAAGTGGACAAGCTTCCTCTTCCACCTGCTCTCCAATGCTACCTTCTTTCCAGTCATTAATTTACCGCATCCACATTAACCCACTCCCCTTCCACAGGGGTTACGTTCCAGACAACCCCTGAAATAAGTGAAATCCCTGATAGAGAAACACCCAATTTAAACACTCCATAGGCGTGTTTTTCTTGCAGTTGTACCACTTTCTAACTTCATGAAACGCACTTTATAAAAAAATATTTATAGATTTACAGAGAGCAACAAGAGCATTGTATACAAAAAAAATAATACTGTGCCAATCGTATAACAGTGTACCGGGCCCTGTGTTTATAGTACACAAAATCCTCTTTTTTCCAAACTAACAAATTTAACTCTCACAATATACATAAATAATCATGCCGAAAGATGTAAATTATAAAACAAATGTACAGATGTTGCTTTCTGTAGGCAGAAAACACAAGATAAGGGTTGAGACATTCAATAAATTTCTTTCCAATCCTTTCAGCAAAAATAATCTGAATTTGAAACATTTTCTATTCTCACTCCTTTCAAACTTGATGTCAAATACTATACTGTGTGCCGCCACATAGTGGCCAGAAGTAGAATTACATCCCAGGATAAAGAGCAAAACAGAGTTATAACCAGCCCAAGGAAATCTGTGCAAACGCGGGACCCCGAATCCAGAACCTGCGATGGAGGCAGTTTAACGCACTAGTTTAGCGATTCACATTACTTTCAGTCTTTTTCAATATAAAATGGTGTGGCAGTCTGGATCATCGCTGCAGGTTTGAGATCTGTGCACTAGGCCAGTGATTCTCAAAGTGTGGTAATAGTACCACTAGGACTAGGGGTACGCAGGTTCCTATTAGTGGTACACAAAAGTATCACTTGATTAAATGTTCAAACTGTGCCTGTTGGCTTAAATTCATTTTAATCTTGTGCCGTGCATTTGTTGAATACAGTTCAATTGTATTTAACTTTTAAGTACAATACGTGAGCATTTCATCTTTTCGAAATGTTGAATTTCAAAGACTTATTTAGGTATCATTTTTACAGTAATGTATGTTATGTGCTGTGTTTATTATTTTACTTTGTTAACTCTTTTGTTAAGCGGTTTGTTACAGCTGCAGCTGTTGTGAAAGCGCTATATAAATCAGGATTTATTGTATCGTATTATATTGTAATACATACTGTGTGTGCACAATACATTTTGGTTGAATCATTACTCAAATACGGTTTTTATTTTAGCTCTATTTAAGTGCAGTGTCAAGTTCAAATTCTGCATAGCAGAACAGCGGTTTACAATAACATTACATCAATACTTAGGAATAAAGCCTCTGCTTCATTTTTGATTATCATGAACAACTACAGGCTTGCCTCACTGTTGCTGTTTATTTCAATAGTGGTCATTATGGATATGAATTTCTTCAGCTGCTCCGTGGTGTAAAACGTTTGAGATCTACTAAGCAATCAATCCCTTTGCTAAAAACATATTTTTTGAATGTACATATGACATTAGATACAGTATTTGTTACAATTGAACCCTTGTATTGACTGTAGATTTACATTGGTGCTGTTGTGGGTCCTATGGTTAAAAAATGGCTTTCAAAATAAATGGCCCATAAACATTGCTCCTTTGTGTCATTGGTTGTATTATTCCATTTCAGATAAGAGTTTATCTACATTACTTCCCATTGCAGTTCCCACTTAGAAAATAGAAGTTGTCAGTGAAATAAACCAAACGGGCAAAACATTATCTCTCAGGAGTGCACACCTTTCAGGTGATTCTTTGCAGGTGGTAGCTGTGTGGAAGTAGATCAAAGTAAAATAACTACGACAGAAAAGACGTTGTTTTGGTTTTATATATACAGTACTAACATTATCCCTGTTTTCAGGTTATAAGTATACGTAACTTCAAAATGTGTGCCTTTTGAGGGCCATGCTGTAGGCTTTCACACACATAATGAATGCGTGCGAAAGAATTTTGACATTTGTGATTTTGTAAAGAATTTATTGTTTTAGCGTAAGTGATATTCTTGGGCAATATTTGAATTTGCACATTCCTATTTGATATTTTGGTCTGACATTCATGCTCCTATTAAATAAATAAGTCTGTTAGTTATCCACCAGTTTCTATGTACTTGTGTTTTTCTTTTTTACACAAAGTACTCATTATTAAATATTTTTGGAGGACTACTTTTTACTTGCGTTATATTCAAAATAAAAGTGCAGTACTCTGGAGTAAAAATCTTGGCTACGATTTACCCAGCTCTGCAGTGAAGTATACAATAATATAGTTAATTCTAGAAATGGGGCAAAATGACCTTATACTTTTGTATGGTAAAAAAAAAATCTTAAAATTTTGATAAAAGACGATTTTCATTGTATGGATGATTTGAGCGCCAGGTGGGAACATTGTTGCCATGACAGCAATGGGAGGTATCGTAAAGCAGGCCGAACCTGCGAGGCAATTGACTGTTAGCTCTTAGCTTACCTACACAGCCACAAAATAAGCAATTTTCGCTCTTTTTACGTGGTTCATGCTGACATTTATCTGAAAGTTAGCAATGTATGTTGGCTTTTTTACACACGCGTATTTTCTCCTTAACTAACTTCCAAGGAGACAATGTTCGCTTTTTGGCGGTATTCCGTTTCTAATTAGAGGCTAACCTATCTGGACTGTTAACCAAAACGTTTCTGTATAAGATCCCATTTTTCGAAATTCTTAATAATTCTCAAACCTATCATGGAAGAAATAGCAGGAGGAAGCAGTGCCATCTTAAATTCAACAGAGGACGAGGAAGACTCATCTGAGGTTTAGTATTACCACATAACGCTCAATTACCCCGAAATGAAAATATTGCATAGTTTAACCACACAGCTTAACTCATGTATTTATCCTAGATTTTATTGAGTGTTTTGGCACAACAGGGCCAAGTGGGCCTCTGTTTCTATGACAGCAAAGACTCCTCGATCCACTACATGGTGGATACACCAGATAACCACGAGCTGCACTTGCTGGCCAGAGGTACAGTACACGCGACGTCTGCTTAGAAGCTGAATTTCCGTCACATAAACGAAATAGTACGACTTTTATCCAGAAGGTCATATTGATCCAAGATATATAATTTCCCGAAAATGATTATAAGCACCTATCCTTTTTTTGTTGACTACCTAAATGGCCATAACAAGATTGGACAGTTTTTATTCAGCCCAAAAATTAAATAAATAAACCCCCCAAGTGATATAAAAATTATAATAAGCAGAATTTTTAGTTTGTGTCATTCCTTAACATTTTCTTAGAGGTTTAATACAGCTGAAACCCATGCCATTCAGCATCCAAAAAATGATTGTGAGCTCATTTCATTTCATCGGACCGTAACACGTGTGTTTGGTCTAATTTTTAAACAAATGTTGATTTTCTTTGGCCCTAATTCAAAAAGGTATGTTTGGTACAAATAAAACTGCTCATCATTTAAAGAGCCCAGTAACTACGGAGGAGCATGGTGATGGAAGCAGTGTTTTTCTTCAGCCTTCATGCTTCTGGTAGAAAGAAAACAACATGTCAGCAGCTGTTTATTTTTTTTCCCCATCTTGAAAAGATTTCATTGTTTTTCCAATTGACTTGTAAAGGTTATATGATACATTAATAGTGGAGAAAGTTTAGAAATTATTATTTTGGTCTTATTTTTATACTACAGAAACCTAAGAGCTAGGTGACTTTTTATATTTACTCTAAGTAGTGTCAGTTGTCCCAACTAAATTAGTAAAAGTTATTAAATATGAACATTTAATTCCATAAGAGATATTAAACATTGAATGGGGTCAAATTGATAACGAGAGGAATTAATACTCCAGATTGGTGCCTAATTTTCTCTTTTTCTCATCGCCATTCCTCAACCATTTAGTCATCCAGGAGATTTGTCCTCAAGTGATTATCACCAGCGCAAAGCAGGAGCGCTGCATGACCCGCTTCCTGATCCAACTTGGTGAGTCTGTGGGAAGAAAATGGTTTGGCAAAGACAGAGAGAGAATGTGCTTGAGGACATGTTCCGTTGTTGACATGTTCTATCAGACAAGAAGTATTTGGGTCAAGGCAACAATACTTGGCTCAGTGAAGCTTGGCATTGGCGGCCTGCAAGAGTGATAAAGGATAAGAGATGCTATTGTACACCGACTTGTAAGGTCTTACATCATGACTTTTGTCCAATTCTTCTCAGGTTCAAACCCAGATTACAAACCAGAGGTCGTTATTTATCCGTATCTTGACTTTGGTAAGGAGAACATCCAGATTGTTGTTTTTTTTAGAACGTTTGTACAGAGGCCTAGACATGACATGCGAACATGTTTTTTGTTTTTTTGTTTTTTTTAATGGTGGCCATGATGTCGTTATATACCGTGCTCACAAAATGCTAATTTGTGCTACAGAATAGGTATAACCTGTGCTCAAAACAATATATTGTGACCGCAAATAACATGCACCTGAAATAATGTGTGGTTTCAATATCATTTTCACGAACAACTTGGATGTCTGAGTAAAAGCAATTGGCCACAAAATAGCTATAACATGGCAACAAAATATTTATGTGTTTAACGTCATTGCCATGAATAATTTGGACGTCTTGGTAGGTAAATAGAGCGCACCTTTGCTAGAAATTGCAACACACTATGTTCTCCACCTTAATGTTTCTTGACTGTCCATGAATATTAGGAATTTTATTGTTTGTATTTTGTGCATGAAGTATACTTACTTAATGGACGGAAATTAGTATTTCACACACCCGATATATGTTAAGTCACAGCCACAAATTACAAATTTCATGACCACAAATGACTTTTGTGTGTGCATTATACTGTGTGTGTAGCGTGGCCACAATTTCTTTCTCCCCCCCACACACATAGCATGTTTAGTGCTCCATACGTTTGCATCAAATGTACACTTAATTTGGATTTTCATGTGACAGGTCTGGAACTCGGTAAAACAAGGCTGCTTTCAGCCCATCTGCCTTTCCTCTCTGCCTCCATCTCAGAGAGAGACAAGATGGCCTATCTCTCCTCCTGTATATCCTTTGATTCACCCCTCATGGTGAGCCAGCTGCTAACCCTACATACCAGCTTGTTAAGTGCCAGGTTTATAGCATTTATGTAATTGTGTGTGTGTGTGTCTTTGTATGTGGGTATTGGGTGGTGGAACAAAGCTGAGAGCACTTGGGGCTCTTCTAAAATGTCTGGACAGGAGGAGAGTGGGAGTTGAGCTGGAAGACAGCAGTGTTGCCGTTCCTATCCTGCACTTCAATGCCTATACACTGTAAGGCACGCCTCAATCAACGCACACACAGAACATAATTTTTCGATCATAACTGTTGTTCATTACATTCCCCAATACAGTAAGGGTGTGGTGTACATTGACAGGGATGCATACAGGTAAGTAGCCTCTGTTGGCCAACATCGGTTCACCATATAACCCTAAAAGCTGATACTAGTCTGTTTCCATTTGTCTAATAATCACAATACACATTAACTGTTTTAATATATACTTTTATTTCATTGTGTTGTCAAAATAAATGCCTCCCTCTTTGACACCCTGAAAAAAATGTGTTGTCACTCCAATGATCTCAGGTAATAGATTCACGCAGAGACATTAATGAGTTAACATTTGAACCCTATTTCCATCCAATGCAGCAGAACACACAGAGTTATGGACAGTCTGTCAGATGAATTGTACAAAGTAAACAAGCACTTGTAAAAGACTGACTGTTTGTGACTGACTGATACTGTGTGTTTACCCGTGTGTTGACTGATCAAATATCGCACTTGTCTCAGTGTTCTGCAGATCTTCAAATCAGAGCTTCACCCATCAGTGTATAAGCTTCATTCGGGTGAAAAAGAAGGATTCAGTCTTTATGGTAGAATGGGAAAGCAATGCCATAGAATTAGGCAAAGTAACACTTCTACTCTGTGTTACAGCGTCACTGCTTGTTCCTATTGTACCTTGCAGGAATACTGAACTGCTGCAGTTGCAGATTTGGATCCAAACTGCTGCGGTGAGAATCACCTATCACATAGACAAAATAAGAAGCCTTCAAAGACATTTTAAAGTGATTTCTGAGATTTGTTTATGAATGCATTAGGCCTTCGCGTGTTTGAAGGGAATTGCTGAAAACACTCTTCAACATTTATCAATAAAGTACCTACGTACAGCTGTTTAAAACATGTAGTGCTACTAAAAAAAACATGCAGCCCATTATTATTGATAGATGGATGGCTAATTATTAAAATTGAATTGCTGATTTTATTGCATTGTATACAAATATCGTAATCGCATAATATATCGGTCTAACTTTCCCACCTGTGGTTTCTCTGAACAGATTTTTACCGTAAATTTCATGAATTAATGAGATGAGAATTTTCTTCATGTTAAGTCCTTGAATGCACAACAAATTATTAATTGTTCAAAATATGAAACAGTAATTAGTTCAGAGAACTGTTTAAGCTGACAAGTACTTTAATGTCCTCCTCCACACCAGTCGGTGGTTCCTGCGGCCAACAGTGGACCTCGCTGTGTTGCGCAGGCGACAGGAAGTCATCCGCTTCTTCACATCACCTCGGAATTCAGACTTCTTGAACACTT